TGTCCAAGGGGCGTGGGGTCAGCGTCTCCGCCGTGGCACCATGCCAGCCGGCACAGGATAAGCCCTGGGCGCGGGGTCGCCCTGGGCCTGTGGGGTGAGGGTCGGCATCCCTGGCCTCGACCCACCAGATGCCAGTAGCATCCCCTCGCCCTCCAGTTGGGACAAACAGAAGTGACTCCAGACATTGCTGCCCGGGGTGGGGACAGTCCCTCCTGGCTGATACCTGCTCTGGACCAGCAGGGGCAGGAAACAGTCACCTTAACCGTGTGCCGGGCTGTTGCCTTGTCCATGATGCCTTGAGCCTGTGTGTCCCCGGGCCCTGACCCTCCTCGTCTCACCGTCTTTTTTTTTTTTAATATATTTTATTGATTTTTTACAGAGAGGAAGGGAGAGAGACAGAGAGCTAGAAACATCAATGAGAGAGAAACATCGATCAGCTGCCTCCTGCACACCCCCCACTGGGGACGTGCCCGCAACCAAGGTACATGCCCCTGACCGGAATCGAACCCGGGACCCCTCAGTCCGCAAGCCGACACTCTATCCACTGAGCCAAACCGGTCTCGGCCGTCTTTCTTTTTTAAAATATATTTTTGTTGATTTCAGAGAGGAAGTGAGAGGGAGAGAGAGAGAGAGAGAGAAACATCAATGATGAGAGAATCATGGATTGGCTGCCTCCTGCATGCCCCCTACTGGGGATCGATCCCACAACCCGGGCATGTGCCCTGACCAGGAATCGAACCGTGACCTCCTGGTTCACAGGTCGACTCTCAACCCCTGAGCCACACCGGCCGGGCCTCTCGCCGTCTCTCTACCTATCAGGGGTTCTCAACCTGTGGGTCGCGACCCCTTTGGCTGTCTAACGACCCTTTCACAGGGGTCGCCTAAGACCATCCTGCATATCAGATATTTACATGACGATTCATAACAGGAGCAACATTACAGTGATGAAGTAGCAACGGAAATAATTTTATGGTTGGGTCACAACATGAGGAACTGTATTTAAAGGGCCAGAAGGTGAGAACCACTGAACTAGCTGCTCTGTTCTCCAGTTCACTTCGCAAGGCTCCAGGCCCCTGAGCTCGGGCAGCGCCGGAGCTGAGCTCTGAGGCCTGGAGGCATGTGGGTGGGGAGGGCGGCAGACAGGGAGGAGCAGGTGCCAGGCCCTGTGGCCGTGGCTTGCTGAGGAGCGAGGGAGGCGGGAGGGCTGGGGAAGGAGGCGGCACTGGCCACGGGGCTGTGGAGGGCGCTAGCCTTTGTCCCAGGAGCGTGGGAGGCGGCGTGGGCCTGAGCAGGGACATCACAGGGCCCGCGTGTGGTGCCCTGTTGTCCATGGAGCGAGGCCGGGACACGGAGGGAAAAGCAAACGGTGGGGAAATAAGCAGAAGAAGGATGAGCATGTTTTGCACGAAGCACCCTCCTTTTCCTTCTCTTTTTGCTTTTTCTTTCTGATGCTTTTTGCTCCGTGCTGTCCTGCATCGTGGTGAGCCTGCCCAGGGCATGTGCCACTTTACTAGAGTGGCTTTCCCCACGGGTCCGTGCAGGCCTGTGGCTGCCTCGCCAGGGTCTCTCCTGAGAGATGGGAGGCAGTGAGGGGCGAGGCCGCGGGATGGGGGGGAGGCGAGGCTGGAGGACTCCCCACCTTCCGGGAGGCAGTTCCTGCGGTCGGCCACCCGCCCCGGCTGGCACCTGCTGTGCGACAGTGTGGCGCGTGCTCACTGAGAGCACGGGGCCCTCTACGCTCAGCCGTCTCCCCAGTCTGTGCCGGGAAGTCGGCTGCCCCTGACCCTGACCCTGACCCTGCCCCTGACCCTGACCCTGACCCTGCCCCCTGTGTCCCTGGCAGAGGAGAATGAGGAGCGCACCATGATCGACCCCACCTCCAAGGAGGACCCCAAGTTCAAGGAGCTGGTCAAGGTAAGGAGGGGAAGGGGCAAACCTGTGGGCTGGGGAGAGGGGCCTGGATGCGGCTCTTTGAGGCTGTGAGGTGAGGAGGCTGAATGGAGGAAGGGGTCAAGGTCAAGGTCACAGCGTGGACACCCCCAGGTGCCCCTTCACTGGGGCCTTTCTTTTAAAAACATTTTTTTGGGTTAATCCTCACCCGAGGATATTTTTCCATTGGTTCTTAGGGTGGGAGGGAGGGGGAGAGGCAGAGAAAGCCATCGACGTGAGAGAGACATCGATTGGTTGCCTCCCACATGTGCCCCGACTGGGGCTGGGGATCGAGCCTGCCACTGAGGGACGTGCCCTCGACTGGAATTGAACCCACGACCCTTCAGTCCGCAGGCCGATGCTCTAACCACTGAGCAACCATCCAGGGCTCCCGGGGCCTTTGAAACGCTGGCTTACACTCTGCGTGGGCAGAGGAGCGGCTGGAGGGAGGTGCGGCCTCCCCTCTCCCCCCCACCCCCACCAGGCGTGGAGGGTTCAGAGACAGCGCTGGGAGCAGAGTGTGGCCCCTTGGCTGCTCCCGCTCAGCAATGTCCGATGAGACCCCCCGATCTGGGCGGACGGCCAGTTTCCCAGCATCTGGAGGTGCAGACACCAGCTAGACAGGGAGACAGCCCCTGAGAGTCAGGGAGGTGAGGACGGAGGCTTTCTCCCCACAGCCTGGTTCCAGGCCGCAGCTTAGCCGCGGGGCGTGGTGTGTGGCATGTGGCTGTGGCGTGTGGCGTGTGGCATGTGGCTGTGGTGTGTGGCTGTGGCGTGTGGAGTGTGGTGTGGCATACATGGATGCAGGTGTGACTGCTGATCTGGACCAGGGAGCGCTTCAGAAGGTGGTGGACGAGCGGAGACTCAGCTCCACCGCGGCCTCGCCCGGGCAGCAGCGCCAGCTCCAGAGCCGGCAGCTACGGACAGCGCTTTGCTCAGTCGCTGCAGCCGACTCCCGTGGCTGGGCCATGTGTATGGCCCACGTGTCACGGACAGAAAAGCTCTAGCTGAAGTGCTTTTACAAAGTCCCTCCCCCACCCGCTGCTGTGGGCCCGCGGTGGCGCACAGGCGTGTTTCCCGAGGGCCGACACGCAGGCGCGGCCTTTAAAACAAATGGAAAGTGTCAGTGTTAGGACCCACCCAACAATGTGGCCTCCTGGTTTATTTTATGACCGTTTCCGCCCTGAGCACCGGGTGTTCTGAACAAACTGGGTGTCGGTGAGGAGAGGGACCTGTCCAGCCGCCGGCCGTCAGGGGCGGGTCAGGCAGGGATGTTGGGGGAGGGGGGGCACCGTGCTGGTCAGGGATCGCGGAGAACAGAGCCAGCGACAGGGCTGCTCTGTGCAGGTTTCCCATCTCATTCCCAGGTTATGGGACAGGCCTCTCCCTGGCTGTTAAGCTTTTCTTCCTCCTCTGTCCCCGGGAAGAAAGGCAGCTGTGTGGAAGCGCCCCGCGGGGCAGATGCCCGCGCTGTCAGCGCCGTGGGAGGCGCTGCTG